TGGATGGTCCCTTCCCTATTTAGTGTGGTGCCTCAGCATTCATGTTTCCCATTAAACTTTGTTTGTCACAGACCATATTTACACTTTGCCTCAGTCCATTTTAAATGAACTTTAGCCCAGAGAAGATGTCTGTGTTCTTGAATCATGTTTACATATGGATTATCCTTCGCATAATAAAGCTTTAACCTGCATTTGTGAATGGCTGTCCAGAATCATCACTGGTAATAAGAGCAAAGTTCCTGTCTATGAAGCAGAGATCAAACACCAGTGTGTCCGATTCCAAATGTGGCACGTTAGTCAGAGGCCCAAACAGAAGCAAACTTCTCATTGTTTTCAATACCGGCAGGTCTATGCACGAGGACTCTGACCCTGAGGGTCAGACTGTCAATGAGAAGAACATCCAACAAAAACCACCTGAACTATGGTTTCTGTCAGCATGTTATTGCAGGTCAGCACACAGTGCAATGGACTTTTCTGGCTGAACCACAACAACCAAAACCAAATACTCCTGACCTGCCAAAGAAAGATCACTGAGACTATGCATTGTTACCCAAAATGAGCCTTTAACCTCCTAAGACCCGAACTCATTCACGGCATGCATTTTTAATTTCTCTTTGATATTTGGGCATATTGGGACCTGATGAATGTAAAAACAAAGAATTACCAAATTTTTTTTTCCTAATCTTTGTTTCTAAGAAAAATGAGAGCCACATATGAGGATATTTGTTTAAAATTTTGATAGAACAGTAGCAGCATAATGTCCTCGTAGGTGGATATCAGGCCCATGTAGAGCAAAATTGAGTATTTTGGTCTAAATAACCCAAAATGTGATGTCCACATATGTGGATGCCAGGTCCTAGGAGGTTAAAGATAAAGGCTTGTCATTTGGCCACAGTGTTTAAAATCTAGTGCAACACAGGGAAAAATGCAGAGGTGTCTTCCACAAATGATCTAAAAACATCAGCCATGCTTGAAGCAGTTTAAAGGCTCTCACTCAACATTTAATGTGAAATTGTAAAGGATTCAAATGTAAAACATTATTACACCATAAGACTCTTTTATGTTTTCTAAAAAACTCAATCTTTTTGCACTACTACTTAGCTGCAAAATGAATTCATTTAAAAGAAAAACCAAGTCTCTGAGCATGTTTTAAGTCCTTGTATGGCAAATTAAAGCTTCACTCAGTACTGAGATTACATTTATATGGAAATCAGACTGCAATGATATCACCTACCCTGATGAAGAATGACGATCTGCACTTGTCTTACAAGGACCATCCTGTAGAGTGACATATATACAAACACACACACAAACCATGCCAGCATGAAGAAAAGAATGCAAAAATAGATTAGCTATGTTAACGGCAAGTAAAGCAATGTGATTATGACAAATGACATATAGGACATGTTCTGTGAACACTTAGGAATCAAAATTTGTTAGTATGAATCAAAAAGGCGCAGTCAGAGCTTATTTTCAAATATTTAGATTTAGCAGTATTCTTACTTATTCTGCCAGCATGTCAGTAAAGTTATTATCAAATTTATAAAGCAAACTTTCATACTTCTTGTACCTGAGCAATGCCCAGCAGGGAAAGGTCACAGTCTTGCAGCGAGCCTTGGGTCAGTTTGGGTTTGGGGGCATTAGAATCAAGTGATTGTAGAGCAGTAACAGGCAGAGGGGAGGTGGGCATAAAGTCGACTTGCGCTGGTAAGGTTACCTGGGCTGCTGGTGAAGATGTAGGCAGCTCTGGAGCAGGGGCAACAGCAGGATAGGTGGATGGCAGGGATGTAAGAGATGATAGTGTAGAAGGACATGAGGTATGCAAAGGGCTTAGGGGCACTTGCTGTGCAGGAAAGACAGCATGGGGCAAAATAGGCTGCTCAGATATAGGCGTCTCAGAGTGTGTCTGAGTGTGTATCTGTGTTTGAGAGTGTGCTTGGGCCTGATTGCTGGCTTGTGTTTGTGTGTGAGCTGGTGGCATCTGCGTGGGATGGTGCTGTGGGGAAGGAGGGGCACCTAGCACTAGGTGGCTATACAGAGACAGGGTGTTGCCCTGGGACTGAGGCTCAGCCACATTATTGGGGCCTAATTGTCCAGGAGCAATGGTCATTAGAGGGGAAGTAGGTTGACACTGTGAGGGAAGCTGACTCTCGTCAAAGGTTATCAAAGCTGGTTTCAGAGGAAGTGGTTGCTGAACGGGAGTTGAGCTGGGTAGTGCCGGTAGCTGGGTCTGTGGGGGTGGCATGGCGAGAGATTGCTGCACGTGAGAAAGCTTCTGCAGCTGTTGTTGGTACTGCTCGGTATACTGAGGAACAGCAGGCTGGCAGATGGACTGAATTACTGAAGGGTCACCCTGAACAACTGCATGTAGTGATCTTTGGCCTGGGACGTGTGCTTGTTTGGTCTGTATAGGATGAAGAGGGGCAGCTACTGAACTGAGACCATCTGTTTTAGTTCCACAACTTCCAGCTGAGCCAGGTGACAGAATCATCTGCTGATACTGGATTACTGGGTGCTGTTGTTCCAGCCGTTGGGTAATATGAGTTATATCAGACTGTACAGGTGGTATGGCTTGCTGGGTAGGGTGAGGGACATACTGACTGGTCAGAGGACCAGCAGCAGACTGAGCATGCAACTGGCTGGCTTGCTGGCCTTGAGTTTGTTGTTGGATCTGGGGCTGGGTGAGCGCTGGCATTTGAGCATTTTGCTGAATAAGAGTTTCATGTTGAATCTGACTGGGGATTGAAGCAACTGCACCTGGAGGCTGGACAGTAGTTTGACTTTGTTGACCCATCATTTGAACATCAGCCTTTGGGACCTGGCCATGCAGTGGCTGCGGCTGAGTAAAGGTTGTGGTCAGAGGATGAGCCTGGATTGGCTGAGAAGTTACCTGACTCTGTGTGGGAGTAACAGGCCCAGGGTAACTACTCTGGGAAGGAACCTGCTGGCTCTGGATGACTTGTGTGTGTCCCTGAATCAATGATAATGGGGTAGTTACCTGGCCCTCTGTCATAGCTTGAGGTGCTTGGGCTGCAGACTGAGCTATAAACTTGGCTGGGCTCTGGCCTTGGTTCTGGGGCTGAGCCTCACTTTGTCCTTGCTGTGTGAGGATTTGAGCTGGGACACTTGCAGGCGTCTGAACAGTAGTAGGAATGGTCATGGGCACTTGGCCCTGAGATATAATATAAGTTTGGTGATGAATGACCTCAGTACCGACTGGTGCGCCAACTGATATGTGAGGTTCCATTACAGATGTGTGCTGCTGTGGTTGGGCAACAAATGCCTGCTGCTGCTGCATCAGTGCTACTTGCTGCTGTTGCTCTATCATCTGAGAAGCATGAGGTGTAAACTGAGTAGAGTTCAGTTGTGGGATGCACATCTGCTGCATATCGGTTGGTTGATGATGAATCTGCTGCTCACTGTTGCTTTGTGGCATAGGGACAGCTTTGTGTTTTTCAGTTTGCTGAAGTTGAATGATGGAAGCTTGCTGCTGCTCTTTAAACTGCTGCTTCATTAGAGCCTGTTGCTGTAATCGTTCTGCTTGCTGTTGTAACAGGACTTGCTGTTGACGCTGCTGCTCTAACTGTTGCTGCAACAGAGCTTGCTGCTGCTGCTCTATCTGCTGTTTGAGTTGCGCCTGTTGCTGCTCTTGTTGCTGCAGCTGAGCTTTCTGTTGAAGCTGCTGCTGCTGCTGTAGCATTAACTGCTGTTGTATCAGCGCCTGCTGCTGTTCCATTTGCCGGATCAAGGCCTGCTGTTGCAGTTGTTGTTCATTCTGCTGCTGCGTCTGCTGGGGATGCTGCTGCAATACAATTTGTTGCTCGTTTCGCCCGCTTTGTTGCTGATTCTCTGTTTCCTTTTGTGTTCCAGTTTGGCGCTGTCCAATTTGTTGATATAACTGACTCTGTTGCTGTGAAGGAGGTTGCTTTGGTTGTTGTTGCTCTAACTGATGCTGAAAAATTGGTTGCTCTTGCGGTCCAAGACCTTGTTGCTGCTGCTCTTGTTTCTGCTGAATGAGAGCTTGTTGCTGTTGATCCAACAGTTGCTTTTGTTGAAGCGCTTGCTGCTGCTGTAGCTGGGCTTGCTGCTGCTGTTGAAGCAGTGCTCTTTGTTGTTGCTGATCAAGCTGTTGCTGGACATACAGCTGATGTTGTTCAAGCAGTAAAGCTTGTTGCTGCTGCTCTTTTTGCTGCTGCTGTTGTAACAAAGTTTGCTGTTGCTGAAGCTGTTGTTGTGATTGTAGCATTATCTGTTCACAGGGATCCCCTGCTGATTGCATAGCTCGCTGCTCCATACCTGTTTGTGGTGTGAACACATGCTGCTGTGAAGCCGGCTGGACGTGTGGGGCAGACTGCTGTACACAGATCTGCTGCTGAGTCTCAGACTGATGTTTCTCGATGGACGTAGCTGAAAGGCTGTGTTGATGCTGTTCTGTTGCAGGCTGAGCGGCAGTAACTTGTTGTTGTTCAAGCTCAGCTGACTGCCCCCCTATTTGCAGTTGTGGCTGCTGCTGCTGCAAATGAAGAGTGGAGGTCTGGGGATCCATTCCCATCTGTTGTTGTGGGACAATAGTCTGCTGGGGGATCACGACAGACTGTGTTTGTTGGGGTGCGGCCTGGGAAATGATGTCAGTGATCTGCATGGGAGTGGCAGGGTGTTGGGTCTGCTGAGCGTGGGGCACAATTGTCCTTGCTAGTCCAGCAGTATCACTGACTGGCATGGATGCAGTGAGAACATTAATGGGTGCCTGTGGGGAAACAGGTGGTATGTATGGCTGTGAAGGGGCAACTGATCCGTGGGGAGTGGCGGTTTGAAAATCATCTGATGGGAATGTTTGTGACTATTGAGTGTTAATGGCAGAATGATGTTTGGAGTTGAAAGAAGGGGGAAAAGAAAGTAGCAGAAAAATTGGGTTAAGATTAAGCTTTGGAAAGAAGCATCAATTATCAACACATTTAATTTTAATCAGGGTGTCCCACAGTGCTTTACAGCAGAGGTTGGCTGCCTCCCCACAAAATTAACCAGAATCACAATTTCACACTCCAAGGTAATATAGTATTTAATGAGAGAGACATCTCACCACCTCTGACAAACAACTTCCTGGGGGAAACCCTGTGTAGTGTAAAACCAGATGGCGAATCTCAGATGATTATGAGGATGATTTATGTTGGCACAAACAGTTATTATATGGAAAAGAACACATTAACATTAATGTTAGCCTTCATTGCCCCTATGTTATTATTATTAGGCTGTCAGTTTGCACATTATCACCATTTTCACCTGAAAGTATTGTTGAGGTACACTTGGTGATACCTGCGGAACCACGGTACCGGAGTGAAGAAATGTCTGACCCATGGGTCCTCCTCCACTTTGTCCTAAGGACATGCTTGTCATACTAACGCTCGGCCCAAGAGGTATAGTAGCAACACTTGTACTCTCACCAATGGGGGGCATCTGAGGATGAGGCAATGCACCAGTGCTCTGTTGTGCAAGAAAAATGATGAATACATATATAAATATATATATACAGTATTTAAGTTCAAAAAACAATCATTTTATCAGTAAGATATAAAAATACACCTACAGATGCAACTGTGGGTAATGAGGTCTGTGAGTGGGTATATGAGTCCCCCTGCAGAGAGTATGCCTGGCTCTGTCCACTTGCATAAGATTCACAGCTTGCAGATCCGATGCTCTCCCCTTCTGAGTAGTCGAAGACATTTAAAAAATAAGACACTATAAAAATTCAGACTACACAAAAAGTACTTGTTCAAATCATATTCATGTATTTTAAATTTTCATTTAAAATGTCACCATTATAATTGTTTCATATGGATACATTTTGATCAGCTACTGGCACATGGGATATGTCACTAAGGAGCACACTGTACCTGGCATATTTAGGGTTGCCCCACTGAAAATATTTTGCTGCCTGACATGTTGGTCCACTTCAGGAAGCTCCTCGGACTCCTGCACTCCACCTCCCCCTCCGTCTCCCGTGTGTCCAGCTGCCCCTTGCACCAGCGAGGATGGGTAAGATGGATGAGTAAAGGTGTAGGAAGTGAGAGTGGAGTCTCTTCGTTCTTCAAAGCCCTGCTGCTGAAGGACCTGCTGCTGTCGACGCTCCCTTGACTTTTTGATTAGGTTCACTCTGTCCCGGATGGATTTTCCGACCACTTTGGCATCACTTTCATGAAAGAAGCCTGATTTCACCTGTAATATAGAGAGGCAAAGAGAGAGTAATTAATTAATGGGCAAATGTCAGCAGAGGAAATGTAGATCAGCTGGAGAAATCTTGAAGTGGCTGATAGATAAAGTGAAGGGCTTGTAATTCCTAACCTGCATTTAACCTTTTAAGTATCAAATCAAAGCCTTTCCCAGTCAACAGTACCTGACACCTACGGACCCAATCAGCTTGTCAGGCATTAATTATTCCTGCCTTACCATCTCTAGAGCCACTTCTTCAGCACTATCATTTTCCAGGTCATAGCTGAACTCAATGGCCTCATTGTCCTTGTGCTTCCCCTTCAGCTTCTTGGGGTCTTCAACCCAAATTCGGAGAGCCAGGCAGTCCTGGATGCCTGTGTCCTCCTCAGCTAGTTCCACCCGGACGCCTGTGTCCTCCCCAAAGAAAGCATGGTTCAGCAGGTCTCGAATGGAGAGTCTGTCAAGAAAGGAGAATTCGATGATAGAAGAGACTGGGACGTTTAATGATCACATTACCAGTCACTCTGCATAATAGAGTGGATGCCATAGTGTTATGAAAGCAAATTCTGCTTACCTCTGGCTTTTGTTCTGACGAATGCAGCCTTCAATGATCTCTTTGATCTCTGGGTCATTTACTTTGTCAAAGCTGGCTGGCTTTATACCCTGAAAAATAAAAGAAACAGGAAATTCATTGTATTCTACAGGAACTTATGTAATTAGGATTTTAAGTCCTGCATTTAACAATTAAAACGTTTTCAGAGTTGAGCCAAATAGTTTAGATCCCAATTAAATAAAACAACAATCAGTTAGATCCTTATGCATCATCACCACAAATGCATAGAGTTTGCTTGCGAATATTTCAAAGACTCACGCTTGTGACTTTGCGATAGATCTGAGCAGCATTTTGGCACTCAGAGTAGGGGTACTCTGAAGTAGCCATCTCCAGCATACACATCCCAAAGGCATATACGTCCACAGACTCGTCATAGTGCTCCTCATACATCTCTGGAGCCATGAACTCCGGGGTTCCTGTTCAAACCAAACAGTACTCTATGACAACCCAAACATCTAAATATTATTTCACTACAGATTAGAGTTTGTATTTACAGTGATGTAATAC